TTTTCATTGAAATATTTTTAAGTTAGCTCTGTCAATGGACAGAGATTAACTAACGTTTTATTAAAAGTTGTTATTGTATTTGCTAAATGTTCTAAAAATGAACAGATTGTAAATAAAATTGTAAAAAAAAAAACTGTTTGTTTATATAACCAGGGGACGAGTTATTGTTTATGGTTGGATCGTTTTCTTTGGTTAAACGAGGTTTTAAATTACTGAAATAACGAGAAACAATGTAAACAAAACACGACCTCTACTTACAGTGCACCGGACAGAACTAACAATAAAAAAATTGGCTTCAACTGTTCTATTAAGTATGAGAAATCTACTATCCATGGTTTAAGTTCCCATTAACAAAGTCCTACAATGTACTGTCATTCTTTTGGTATCAATAATAAATAGCATTAACCAATAGAAGAGTAGTGATAAATTTAATGACATTTGAACACCAATTTGCACAGTTTTAATCTTTATTGAAATTTTGTTAGCATTTGGAATTATTATTGTTGATTTAAAACAGTTAGTGCCACGGAGTTGTTAGTTGTTATGTTTTATGTTATCTGCAATGTGTCTTATCAATAACATCTACTCCAACATCGAAGTCGGAAAGCTGTACATAAAACACTGTACAGAATACAACTCAGTCTTCTAAATTTGTGTAATATTTTGTAAAAAGGATTTAATATTCAAATTGAAACATCCTGTAAGGAGAGGATTATAAAATTCAGTTTTATATATTTTTAAACATTGATAAAATCTCTTGTAACAGTGCTTTATAGAAAATTAAATCATAACTCTCAAAGATAGTATGCATGTATACATTTATACTGTAAAGGCTTTAATTATGGGATTTACATTATTCTAAACGGACAAAACAAACTTGTTGTATTGTGATGTACGCTGTGCCGTTTAATTCATCTTGATAATATTCTATTGTTGATGAAAATGTCAATGCATACTCCATTAGGTACAAAAATGTCAAATATATTAAGTTATACCATTGACTATTGGATACTATACTATAATTTTTAATTGACCATTTTTATTTAGTCTTCATAAAATCTGTGTAGTAATTTTTATAAAATAAAATGTTAACTAACCAAATACTGTAGTATTGTTCCCAAAAAATAGATTAAACATTAAAATAATATCACTCCAAAAAACATATTGAAGTTTTAAAGTAGAAAAAAATTCCAAAACATCCTATCAAGTATCGTTTTTATTTACTTTTTTGACATGTAAGATTTTCCAAAATTCCTTCAATTACACATTGTTGTAACTCTAAAAACAAAAAACATATTTTTACATCAACATAAATAAAAAATATATTTACAAGAGAAAAAAACTTACGATTTTAAGATAGTGCCTGTGCCTCCTAAGCCTAGGACAACTCGCCAAGTGTGGCCTACAACACTGTGCAATAAACAGTTCACAGCACTGTGGGGGGAGGGGGCTATCCCCCCTCTGAGACAGGTGTCTGTCAAATATCAGCTGTTACATTGTTGACAATATCTGTTGTTACTGTTGTGGATTTAGTTTTATTGAATGTAAGTTTATTAGTCAGCAGTCAGATTTTAATAAACTTCTGTTATCAGATTCTGACTAACTCAGTAAGTAAATTGGATATATTTTTTCTGATAAAGGTAATAAATTACATGCATTTCTAAGAAAATTATGAGTTTATAGGAAAGTGAAGGCTATTGTTATGACACTTGATTGCAAGAGGGGTGTTCAATAATTGTTGTGCGCCTAAGCTAAAATGTTAAACCTCGCTTTATTAAAATAGAAGTCCTCATTTAATCGATTCAACTGCAGTCAAAAATTCTAAAAAACTGTAAAAGTAAAATTAAATGTCCATGATATTCTTATTGAGAATAAGTAAACTTATGTATTTTGCTTGATTATAAACATATTTTGATAAAATTTTGGAACATTTATTATTTCATTCTAAGCTATTAACTTTTTACTAAAGAACACTTTACAGTATTACCTTTCCTGTAGTAGCAAATCTATTTACTCGTTAAACTAATAGCCTATTATTTAAATTTGGAATAAATATGTCACTTTTAAGGAGTTAGTCAACTAAAACTGAAGCTATGCCAATATTTCCATTTCTAATCCAAGGAAAGTTTAAGCGGTTGTTAAACATTTATTTTAAACAAAATCATTTATTGTAAAGAATCTTACTTATTTCCTATAATAAATGGCAAAATCACAGAAGAATATACTAACCTGATAGTTCTATAGAATATTTTTATATTCAAGCAGCTGTTACTTAAAACAAATTATATATTGCACTAAAACAAACTGAAAATTTTAAAGACTGCTTTTAAAAAATTTTCAAATCAAATCAAATCAATTTTATTTCCACAATATATAAAAAATTTACAATTTTTCAAAAAAATAAAATACAAATATATATAGTCTTGAAGCATTATAGAGTAAATTGATTACGTAAATTAATTCTAGTAAAATTAAATTTATAAAGTTATAATAGTAAAAACTTAAATACTAGTTGAATGTTTGCTCCGGCTTGAATAATAACTAATGTAATAGATAAGGAAATGAGTCTACATGGACCTCAGTGGTCTGTACGTAGACTCGAGTTGTTAAAAATTATATATATTTTTGAGCTAATTTGAAATAGAAGAAAAAGTTTAAGATTAAATAAAAATTTACTATGTGCTATGGGAACGTGTAAAGATAAAGATAAGTTTATTTATTAGAACATCTAGCATTTTACTATGTATATATTTATAGTCTGTCATCCTCTTACGAAATAAATGAACGTATCAATGAGTATAGCATTACACATCTATAAGTATAAAAGAGGATGTTTGTATATATATTTGTTTGGCAGTGATAAACTCAGACACCGCTGAGGCGATTGCCACGAAACTTGGTACATACGTGTAGAATTTCATGGAATAGGTTTATACACCATCAATTTCATGATCCGTCCAATCGGCTCCGCCCCAGTGGCTCTGGAGTTTCCCATGTTAATCTTATGAGAAATGGAATTAATGAATCTTAACAGCTGTTTCAATTAAACAAGTTGATTCTGTTCTATGATGTTCAATAGCATTAAAGTTACAAGGATTACCAACAGGGTGCAGCACTATTATTTCTTTTACATTTATGACAACAGCTAATTTGCAACCAAAAGGTGAGTGAGCGTAGCGAACGAACTTCAACCTGGAGGCGAGTTAGCGTAGCGAAAGAGCTAACCTGAAGGCAAGTGAGCGCAGCGAACGAGTTCCAACCTAAAGGTGAGTGAGCGTAGCGAACGAACTTCAACCAGGACGTGATTGAGCCATGCGAACGAGATCATCTTGAAAATTAAGAAGTTAAACGGTGCAAAGCCCGCGGGTTACAGCTAGTATAGTATAAATAAGTCAACACTATGCATGTCATTCTTATCCAAATACTGAATTTGTGTCACACCCGCTTAATGCTTACAGCTGTTACATTAAGCAAATGTTATTATACCAAAAGCTAGTGTAGAATGTTAGCGTCGGCTGCTAGTTTTTTAAAAATTTTAAACTTATTTTCTAAAAAACTGAAACCCTAAACTAAAATTATGGCTTCGACATTCCCTAGTTCTCAAAATTATCTTTCTTTCAACACAAAAATCATGAAAATCCGTGAAGTGGTTGATTCAGAATCGTGAAATAAAAAAACCCTGTCACGTTTTAATATACAAGATTTTAGGGAAAACCCAATCAGGCAAATGGAAATTCGCCAAGTTTGCAGGTTTGCTGCGGCAGGGGTATTTTTTTATTACCTTAGCCGAACTAATACTTTCATACTTACATTTACCTAATTTGATGTACCAGTATCCAAAAGTACTATTTTGTGATTTTTTAGAATACATTTTTCTTCACGGCCCCTAATAAATTATAATTTCCACTTTATAACTATAAAGCTCTTCAAATACAAAAGATACACTGATGACTCGGCCTTGTAAGATAATATCTCAGTTCAGGGTCGTGTCCTTTTATGTTCTGAACTTTAACCCAGCTGGTTTATGATGTCCTGAATGACTCGGCCTTTCAATTAAATTTCAATTAAGTCTGAAAGATCATGTGATTTGTAAAATAATCATACAGTAGAGTGTTCTTAAATTATTATTCTTTAACCTGCACCTTTTAGGTGGGCTACTTCATTTAAAATGCCTAGTTGAAAGAACTTTCATTTGCAAGAGTGACACATTCAGCTATTACATTGAAAAACCAGTTTGTAAGAACATACTTATTTTAGTTAGTATTAGTTATTTACAGCTAATTATTATTTTCCTGACAAGCAATTTGGGTTGAATTTGAAAATCCATTTAGGTTTGGTGATAAACTAAAGGACTTGTGCCTAAAGTAGAACTTGAAAGTAAAGACTCGCCTAAATGGTAGACAGCTTGGGTAGAAGTTAACACAGAGCCGGCCTTCCACGTGTGAAAGGTGGGGCTGCACACTGCACAGAGCCGCGGGCTCTTTTTGCAAATGCCAAATAACATTTAATAGTCCATGAGGGCTCTAAATATTTGCACTTGCCCAGCACCACCCAAGGCGGTCTCTAGAGTTGACAAGCCACACATTCTTTGGGCACCCCTAATTAAATTTTAGTTGATTTTTTTCTGCTTTCTCCATCTATACATAGTAATATTAAGAAAGTAATATTTTTGTCATAATTTTAGAGTAGAAAAGTGATATTTAATGTGATGTCGGTGTGTATAGTGTCAGTATGGAAGTGTACAGAGCTAAAGAGAACACATGTGGTCCGATTTTGATGAAATTTGGTATTTAGTTAATGTTTGATTAGATCACCATTATCTTTAGTAATGGCATAATTTGTAGACCCTTTATAAGGTTGAATCATAGATATTTTATAAAACAAGAAGCCAATAAAAAATATATATATTTCTGAACCACAAACACATACAAAATATGGCATGCATTACGCATTTGATGTCTTTGTATAAATTGAAACACAGTAGGAATAAAACTAGAAGATAAAAATGAGATACCTTTATTTTCTTGAATAATATATAACAACATAGGAGTACAATTTATTAGTTTTGATACAGAACAAATTTATATCAACAATTCCCAAAAATATATTTATGGCTATACTTATGATAAGATTATTGAAAAATACACCATTGAAAGGAGGTTAAAGATATGGAGTCCCCATCTCAACGATTGATAATTCATAATGCACTGGGGAAAAACTTAACAGAATGATGCTAACAAAAAGTTAAGTTGTATCAACAGAATCTCTTGGTTGAATTGAACCTGTCCAACTCCAAAAAGATTTTAAGTTAGCAACAAAGAGTCTACGCTTGGTTTCGGTTAGATGGTTTCAAGGATTTAGCAACAAGAGGCTTGAAATTAACAATTTGACTAAATAAGGTCAATTTCTTTCGATGAAATGTTGCTATGATGAACTTTCATCCTCCCATTCTCAATTAATTGTACGTCCTACATAACTGCTTTTCCTATCACATAAACTATAAGACAGGCTATGCTAGAAACACAATAGGTTATAAAAATAAACACAATCAGAAAAAATAAAAGGAAGAAACCCAGATGAAAGTCTTTGTCATCACATTTTGATTAGTAACTTTGGTTTCATCCAATTAACTCTTCAGTCTTATTCATTGATTTTTCAGATTTCTAATTGGAGGTTAGTATATTGCTTTTTAACCTAATTGTCATCCAAACATATGCAAGTCTATAAAGATAATAGTAACTGAATTAATAAATAAAAACTTTGTCAGTAAACTTTTAGTTAGAATGTAGAAGAACTATTGAGTTAGATAGTTCGGATAATAAAGAAAATAAAAATAGCCAGAAATTAACACATACTTTCCTCCTTGTTAGTCATAAGCCCATAAATGTTGTTGACCTCTAGGGACATCAAAATGAAAAGATAAATTGGTCCTGGGTCTACGTCTTACCTACAGTAATAGCCACTTCCCTATAGGGAAATACGCTAAAACTACAAATAATGTACTATATTGGGTAACTATATGGCTATTGGCTATTAATAGATTAGTGGGCAACTCATAAAGTACAAACTTTCTATAACACCTTTTCTTTGGGTAATAATAGATATTTTTATGAAATTGGCACCATAAACATTCACAATATACATCATTGTCTAACAAAGAATAGAACAAATATTTTCACCATTATAATATGAAACATGCATTTTTAAAGGTTTTTATTTTACTGTAGACAAATCAGTCCTATGCATTGCAGTAACATTTGTCAAAACTTATTTAGTAAAAGAAATTAACTGTTGAAAAATTAATGATTGAATTTACAATAAAACAGTGTACATCCTAAACTTTTTAATAATTTATGCAAAAAATGCAATATACAAACTAAATATGTCAAACATAAAATAATGCAACTTATATACAGATGCTTTTCTATTGACCAACATAATTATTGGCACAAACGTATTTAACTCTACATAAATGCCACAAACTAACTTATCAGATTAAAAGGGCGAAAGGGCAATGTTATGTTATAAAAGAGGAGGAAATGATTCACCCATTGCTTATTTCTAAAATCACAAAATTGTTATCAAGTATAAACCACAACATGATATTATAACTCTTAAGGTCGATTCACATATATCAGTTACGACACGTCACATTCCAGTCACATTAGTCGTGTCTCGCGTCACAGTCAAACAATTTATTCTTGAATGGATTTTCTATTGCGCTATCTACACTCATCCAACGCAGTTCCGTCAGTCGCTCTGCTGGCGTCCACCATTCAGTTTCAGATTTCTTCTCACCTATATTTTTGGATTTGTTGGATGCCTAACAAATGTGTATGAGGTTAGAAAATAGTGTTTTTTTTTTTATTTAAATGATAGTTTCTTAATTTTTAGTGTTTTTTGTAACAATCAACAAGATTGAACGTAAAAAATTGATAGAATATTGTGTTTTAATTTACAGTGACTGTAACATCACTATAAATTAAGTGACGGAAGACTGACTGAAACCAAATTAATGACAGTTTGACCGAGAAATTATGGATGCAACTGAGACTGAACTGTGACTGGTCTGTGAGGGAACTGATATGTGTGAATCAACCTTTATACTTCACACATTTTTAATCGTTCAGTCAAGTTTCAATTGCCTAGTACAGTCACTTGCTTATTTTCTATATCACATTCGCCGAATAAATATAACATGAGTAAATACTAGAGTAATGTTTTTCACTTTGAAAAATCATCGTAAAATAAAGAAAGCTTGGCAAAACTATACTTCCCGTTCTCCCTCAATTTAATAATTTTGTCTTTAAAATCCAAATTGAAGATGCAAAATTTTGATAAAGTAGATTGGTCCAAGTTTTAACAATGATTTAGTAAAAATCAAGTCAAGTTATAATTTTATTTTTTTCAGCAGGCTTGACTAGTTGACATGTAGCCTTAATGGCATTTCTGTCTTCACATTAAAAATTCCTTGGAAGAAGAAGCAGAAGAAATACGTTCATTCATTCATACGACCACATAGGATTTAGTCTGCAACATTTTTTGACAGTTAAAATGTTTAGCTAGTATTAGGCTTTTGATAAGTGAACCTGATCCAAAATGAACGCTGTTGCTGTTAGAAACAAATCGTTCACATAATTCATATTGATTGAATCTAAAAGCTAAAAATAAAAGCAAAATTGGTGTCTGGGTATTACAACTCATAAATTCAGCATAGATTTAAGTCAATTTAAAATGTTAGTAAATTTAAATTTAGTGTCAATTGAGCAGGGGAGAAGAAGAATTTGTTACCTTGAAAAGATGTATAAAATGGTTTTGCAATTGGTTTTTAAGTTTTACGATAAGGCAAATGACTGCACAAACGAGTAACTAGCAAACTTCTCTGATCTACAGAGGTACTAAGGCTGGTCGGGAGGTTGACTGATCAGAGGGTCTTCATCGTTACGCAAACGTCGTCTCAGCGATGCGAAAGAGGGTAGCAGATCGTTGTAGACACACATTCCTTGAATGAGGAAGAAGAATCCGAGAACCTACAACAATTACATTATTTGTTAGTAACATTAATAAATAGTAAATAAATTTAAGCACAAAACACACACATAGTGAATACTGTACTGATTATTTTGATTCGTCACAAATAACCTTTAAGAATAATACATCAATATGCCATAAAAGTACTAAAAAACAAATAGAGGTCCTTTTCCTTTAATTCACTACCACAAAATTTTTATTGCAATTTGCAATGCCCTTTATTCACTACCAGAATTTTTTTCATAATCAGCAAGTTTGGTTGGTTAGGTTAGTTTAGAATAGTTTAATTTGATAATGATATTCATAAAGGCTAACTGTTAAAAACGTCGGAATTGCAATAAAAAAGTAGTGGTAGTGAATTAACGGAAAAGAACCCAAACAGAGAGGTCTCTTCCATAGCTTTACCGATTAATGTGTTCAAGAATCAATTTAATACATAGTTTTCCACTAAATGTCTTATGAACGCCCCCATACTAGGGTATCTCTGTTGACCAATTAACAGTTGGCACGATAGTTTTTCATTTCATGTTGGCAACACTAGAATAACAAGACATTGTAGCAACTGCTCATGATTATCGCAAACTTGCACCTGTCAGACAGACAGAAGATGAGCTTGAACATTTCATGAAGCTTTTTGATTTTAGAAAAAGATCTTTTACACTTATTCAAAAGTAGAACAAATTATACCAATAAAATAGTAACGAGCATCTTGAACTAGTTTTTTGAAATCATGAATTTTCAGCTGCACAATCTTAGCAGATCCTCTCGGCGATGGCAACACCTTGCGCAAGTGTGTTGCAAGTTGCCGCAGCTTAAACCCTAGTTTGAAGCAACTCAGTTTCCTGCTACCAAGTTGCAATCAAGGAGACTACTTTACCTGGAGGAGATGAAACTCTTGCCAACTCAACGCAAGGGAGACAGCCCAGATGATGAGAGTGCGAACAGAGTCCAACACCATCCTGGTAGTAGCGGACAACTCCTTAGTAACACTGATGCCGGCAAAGTTGAAGAAAGCGATGCTAACGACAGTACCTACAAATAACAAAGCATTAGGCCCCTTTACTGCACAAGCAGTTGCCGCTGACAATCTAAAACGATGCAAATCCAAAAAGAAAACCAAATATATGAAAAAAATCTTATATAATCAAAAGAAAATAACAACTAGCGTTACAAGGCAAAACACCAAGATCATAAGGTAGTTTAATTATTTACTATTCACATTTCATTTTATTTACCGGTACTATTTTACCGTTACTTTTAACTGTGATCAAGGCCTAAGAGTCGAAATATTTTAGTTGTTTTATAAAATAATAAAAATATTTTCCAAATGAATGCTATTCTTTCTTTTGTTATAGGAAAGTCCTGAAATTTTTTTTATGGACACTCTGTATAGGCCTATATGAATTTGAACGGATGGTGTTATTGGCCTCTGGGGACCTCGAAAAGTAAATCGGTCCAAAGTCCAGGTCTTACAAAGAGACAATAATAGGCCTAGCTTATTCCCTGTACGAGAAATTCGCTGAAAATAGCGCGCAGGTGCAAATTGCTAGAGAATTTCGCAGGTGCTTCTTTTTAGTGGGGCAACACAAACTCCTACTTCTGCGCATAAAATGGGCCTTACAAACAGATCCCTCCTTAGAGACCGGTCCCTTTTATACTATGCACAGAGAATTTGATATACTATTTAATATTTCTCTTGTATCAGAAACTATTAAATAATATTCCATAAAAACAGAACTCAGTGGTGTGTAAGTGGAATTTTGGTAAACCTTTCTGTAATAAAATAGTGTTTCCTGTGCCTCCTATGTAATTCCCAAAAGTCAAATCCAAAAAACATTTCCATTCTGGGAATTTGATGACTATACCCAACTGAAAAAGGGATACTGTATCGGAGGAAGACTAAAGTAGTGTGACTAATGATTGACTGGCCAACATTCTTAGACGAAGTGTTGGTAAAAAAGAACTGCTTATTTTAAAAGTGTAAATGGGAAATTTAGTTGGCGAGGCCAAATACCACCTTGGGTATCGATGGCCATGGGAGTAAGAGTAAGTAAGTAAATGGGAAAGAGAAAGTTGTGATAAATACATTGCTGGTAGTGATAAGTCTGTGAAAGTTTTTTAGAGTTTTCGTAAAGAATCTTCAAGAAAATTACGAGCTGCAGTTTAATCAGAAGACAATTTAAGGTGTGTTAGAAAACTTAAGATTAAAAAAAATTCTTTTACCTAAATTAGAGATGAGCACATGAATCAATCCTTGAAGTAAAAAAAAACTTTCCCCTAAAATAAATTGACATAATACTTATCCAAAACACTTATAAAAATAAAATAACTCCCATAGTATTGGTTAAATTATGTTTTACAATATTACAGACAAAAACTCAACATTTGTTAAAGTTATTAAAACATCTTATATCCTTGGACGCCTGAAGATGACTCCACGGAGTTGAAACCGGTTGCAACATAAGCAACGAATTGGATTACTTAAATGCAGGTATTTAAACCACTTAAAGTATTATACAGTAATCCGGAGGCTAACATCCATCAATATTAAAACATCAATTTAAAAACAAAGCAAACTTACCAATAAGAGCAACAATGATGAGTTTGTTATTGGACATTTGAACAAATGCGTCCGGAATGTCTTCCAAGGTACCCCGTGAGTTGTTGGAGAATGGAGGAGGAACCTTCCAGTAGTAGAACGGAATGTGTAGCAAAGCCAGAGCTAGGAATCCAAACGTTCCTACAAACACAAATATTAATGTAATTATCACTTTTGTAAGTTATTACACAATAGATGATGTAGAAATAGTTTTATTTTATTTTTAATCTACCAACACATTATTCTTTAAGCTAAATCAAATCAAATTACTATAATTTCTGAAATAAATATGTTTAATCAAACAGTCAATGGAAAAATGTCAAGATTATAAACTTATGACGACAAAAAATTATTAAGACAATAATAGGTTTTTTACATACCTCAGTCAAATAGTCCAAAAATGGTATTGCTCAACAGCTTACATGTTTCGTTGCGAAGACAACATTATCAAAGCTTGCAACTCGTCAAAAACACATTTAAAACACGAACACAGAAGACATTAATACGGTACGAATACACGATTGACATTTAGATAGCGCAGTTTTCTGCTACCAGCCCCGCGCCGCGCCGGACCAAATCAGTATTATGATAGCGCTATCTAAATGTCAATCGTGTATTCGTACCATATTAATGTCTTCTGTGTTCGTGTTTTAAATGTGTTTTTGACGAGTTGCAAGCTTTGATAATGTTGTCTTCGCAACGAAACATGTAAGCTGTTGAGCAATACCATTTTTGGACTATTTGACTGAGGTATGTAAAAAACCTATTATTGTCTTAACAATATAGTCCAGGGGCCGAAAACCTGAATTTTGAAAAAATTATTGTATTTCCTTTACATATTGCCTACTATACTCTGTTCACAAAACTTGGGCGGTTTGAGGGGAAGTTCCCCCACTACTTTTTTTGTTTAAAATATATGTCGCAGCTGACTGACGTTTTGGGAAACCTCAGCTGTTAGGTTTTTTAAAGTTAGGATCAAGTGGAGGGGATAGAATTCTTCCTGTGACACCACTTAAATTTTGTGAACGGAGTGAAAACAGTTGCAAGATTCAATGCATTGATGCTACCTAACATGAATCAGGCGCAGCAAATCATATATAGTCTACATCAGGACTATTCTGATGAATTAATGAATTATGTTTTGAGCTAGAAAAAGGTAGAGAAAAATAATTATCTTGATAATAAACAACATTTTATTAAAGTGTCAAGAGTAAGGCATGGGTCCAACACATTTGAATTAACATAAAACATGTTCAAATATGTTGATATTTTAAGAAGAGAAGACTTGAAGATAATATCTTACCTTCCCAGCCCACAGCCTGTAATGGATTGATGTCTTTGGAATTTACATACTTTTCTTCATAAACCATCTGCATTGCTGTGATTATCTGAGCCATAATGATAAGCAAATCTCCTGTAACAACAAACAAGTTTAGTGTCACATATGTGTTAGTTTAGTTAAAATGAATTATATAATCAATGATGTCTTTCTTTATACTCTGTCACGAAACTTCATACTCTGTATGTCACTCCCCACTATTCTTTCTCTCTCATTAAATGGCTACTTAACAAAATGGACTTATTAATATAGAGCCTTCCCATCTGTCTAATATTAAATATATAAAACATGCAATGGCGCAGTCTAAATGTGAAAAAGTACTAAATATAGGTTTCAATTATTAAGATTAATATACAGGGTGATTGATATAAGTGTGCCAGCCGTTTTATTCGTAAACTATAAGAGGTATCAAAAAAAGTTAAATGGTAAGTGCCTTGGATTTTTCATTTTAAAAATTATAGTAAAGTCGAAAAAATTATTTTTTTCCAATATGGCCGCCAACATTGATTTTTGTTATGGAACACCCTGTATTTTATGACGTATTCCGGTAGAAAATGTAATTTTAAGACGATTTTATTCTTGTGATTTTTTCATAATCCTAACCGTTTCAAAGATAATAATGGTTTAAGCTGTGAAATTTCTAATAGTTTTCGAATATAACAGCTGGCACGCTTGCTTAGGCCTTTATCAAAACTCTTTCTCATGCCAAAATTTCAAAACTTTAACCATTATTATCTTTGAAACGGTTAGGTTTATGAAAAAAATTACAAGAATAAAATCGTCTTAAAATTATATTTTCTACCGGAAAACATCATAAAATACAGGGTGTTCCATAAGAAAAATCAATGTTGGCGGCCATATTGGAAAAATGGCGGCTAAAATAATTTTTTCGACTTGACTACAATTTTTAAAATAAAAAATCCAAGGCACTTACCATTTAACTTTTTTTGATATCTCTTATAGTTTTCGAATAAAACGGCTGGCACATTATATCAATCACCCTGTATAAAGTAAGATGGGAAGTGAAGACGAAGGCTAGAAATAGAAGAAAAGTAAAACCAAGAAGGCGATTGTGGTTCATCACCATGCACCTACAGGTATCAAACCACCATCATAATTAGCATGGCTAGGTAACATGGGTGACAATTGGAAATTCTTTCAACAGAAATATGATATTTACATGATTGCTTCAAGGGCTAACGATGAAGATAGTTCCTACCAAGTTGCAGTTTTATTGAATCTGGTAGGCGATAGGGCCTTAACATTTTTTAACAACTTCTACGTCTCGCGCGATCGAGGAAACGTCATCGTCGTCTCCCGCGGTCACAGAAACGTCATTTTCATGTGTGATTGTGGCAAATTGAAAATTCCCAGTAAAATACAAAATTTACACATAATTCCCGGTTTTTCAGGTCGGTGGGCACTCTGACAATATTGATTGATTTTCAACTTTCACACGCCCCCCTTTTTAAATCCTTAGGATGCCACCTAGGGGTGCACTCCACAATTTGAGAAACACTGTACTAGTGAATTGGGTCTATTTTTTTGGTGATGAATGAGTTTATTCAATGATAAATAACGCATGAATATTAGGCCTAGTAATTTTATTTTGGGTTTTGTGAAAAATTAAAAGATTTATCAACCCAACCTGTAATTGTTCCATTTATATCCGTATCCTGTCCAGAATGCATAATATCTGCCCATCCAACCAGGAACAGACCAAGCACAATGAGGGAAATTCCCGTCCAATGCTTCCATACCAACTGACGCTCCAGGAAAGCCATCGATAGAAGCGCCACAAACACTATCACTGAACCTGTAGCAATACATACAAGGCGTTAAATATCTATGAATCTAACTTGTCTCAAAGATTAAACTATAACAATTACAGTAGATACTCGATAAAAAGATGGCCCTCAGGATAAGGAACAGGTTGGGACCACTGAGAACCTATTTGAATAGTGAATTAGAGTACACTAATACATTTGAAACAAACAAAGTTTCTGCAAGTAACTGTTGCTAACAGCAACAGAAACACTTAATAATTGTGCTATTTTTTTATATACTAGGTTTGATGAGCAATGACTGACAATGTTATGACAAAAATAATAACAATATATACTTTTCAATGAAATGGCGACCATACAAAGTAGGTATTTTAATTTAAGCCAAGTATGAATGGAGATGAGTGGTGCAATCTTGTTGTCTTGTTACTGACTAGACTAAGGCCGACATGTTCCTTAGACACAGCTGTTAATTAATAGCCCATACAGCTAATGGCAACTAAGGGACCTACAGTTTATAGTGGAATCCGAACCACATTTTTGCCTTGGTATATACGAATTGGTCTAATTATCAGTATAGTACTGCAGATAGTGGTAGTACTCACTAGTGCGGACGTTAATCCACACAAGGGAGTATTGCATCCACAGTGCATGCCTATAAATATCTACAATTCGTGACCTCCTAGTAGCTGGATTACAGGACGACGCCACCAGTTCCACTCATAGAATTACAGTGTCTTACAGCAATGAGATTTTTATGGCGAGTGTGTGTATGTGTTCCATGTTCCGTCCCTCATTTTGTCGCTACTAGCCAATACCAGTAACAGTGTAGTAGTGCAGTTCGGCAAGATTTATTGCTTTACCTACTAAACAATAATTGGATTAAACGTACATTGATCAATGAGATGCATATGATTTCAATATAAGTAGTTTTTATAAATGAGTTTATCTATGCCAGTGGCATTTATTAACGGTTTTTGTAAGGAAACTGACCAAGCTTTGCAGCTAACCTCTTAACATTTGGAAACTGGAAGCATGGGTCAAGTTGAGTCCGATGTACATGAGTGACGTAGCCACCATGTCACACAGAGCTGGTGGGAGAAATATCATCGGGTTGAACTCCTGGTTGCCTCTGGTTGCAGTACTTTCTTCATAGGAATTACCCTGAAATTACTTACATTTAATAATATACTACATGTTTGTTTTGTCAGAATATCCATTTTGGGTCCCCTTGAACCAAAGAAAGTGTATTTTCAAAGTTATGTTTGTGTGTACATCTGTGGATGTGTACAGAAGCTCCAGACCACCCGTGGTAGGATTTTGTTGAAATTTGGTATGTGGGTACTAATGTATGTTATATCCAGGTTTTTTTTATTTTTAACGGTAATTTTCTCTTTAAACCTTTAAAAAAAGGGAAAATCTTAAAAAAGCACTATTTTTACTATACATTTTTATTTTATAGTCCTTATATTCTTGATTAAAACCCTCAACGCTCTAAGAGTTAGGCTACAGTTCAAAAGTTATCACATTATTGGGATTTTCTCATTAATTTTGCATAATTCTTTTTAATTTTGTACTCATAAATAGGACGTGTTTTTAACATCAAGCAAAAGGGAGGAAGTACACGCCAGTTTGCTGATACCTTTTATTTACTATGTAACAGGACCAAAAGGACAACACTGCAAAAATACTCTGGCCGGTATTCCTAATGTTTGCAAGAGGCTTTTTTACAACAGGTTTTCTAGTAGAATGCGGTAGAACCCCTAATATCCGACCATGGCCCATCGGGAGGAGCATATCTTGCGGTCTCGGGGACACGGATCTTCTGCAATTTCGGCAACACCTGTGATCGTACCTACGATCACGACAACACCGGTAATCATCTTCCATGATCGCGGCAACACTCATGAGGATATCTTGCGGTCACGGCGACATCAGTAATCGTCTTGCGTGATTATGGCAACACCCGTGATCGGCCACACTATATATCCCAAAGAGTCGGTTAAGCCGAGGTAAAATATAAGGGGTTCTACTGAATACAAATTTCTACTGCAAAACAAGTCCAATCAACATGTGATGATAATTAAGTATTTATTACCTGTCTTTGCTTATAGATCTGGTAGAATAAAATAAGTTTGAATGCGAGAAGGCAGTAAATTTCCCCCAGAAACATTGTAGAGGACTGAAGGAACGGATGATCGAACTGCCTAACCACCCCATCACTTCCAGCTGCAGAAAGTTTATCAGCCCACCTATTGAAAATAAAGTTAACACAATGTTGTCTGATAGTTAAAGAATAGAGCAAGAAACGGTATAAATGTATTTTGTACGCTGCCTAACCATATACCAGAAATATCATTGTATGGATTTACAAAGCCATCAATCAAGAATTTGTTTCATAAATATAAACAAGTCACTGAGACATATGTTCCCTCATTTTCTGTTATGGTAATTGGGAATAACAAATCATAGCAAAGCATAAAAAAACACAGCATCAGTATTGGTTTGGAAATTCATCTTACAAATAGTTTCTAACTTGAACTTGGGAGAAATTAATTGGAATACTCAAATCCGTCAAAGTTAAATTAAATCTGTCAAAGTGAAATTATAATCGTCAGTGAAATAGTTGATTTTGTCTTTTTACTGCAGCAAATAACCTCAAAAAAAAAAAAAACAACTGACTTGTTACATGATTGTCAAACTAACAGGTTTTTTTTAAATTAATAGGACACTTACTTGGTAGTCAAAGTGTTTAGAGAACCGGTAATAACCATGACCACCCCGAGGATGATTTGATATTTGGTCCAGGCCATGTTTATTTATCCAAATGGTGACGTCTGGAAACACACAAGTACATGTTGTAATGGATTTTATATTCATAGCCTAGGTCTATACATACATTTAGTCTAGTTAATTATGAATACAACCATTTATAGTAGTTGACGTAACGATTGCGTAAAGACACCTAGTGTTAACGACACAAGTAGAAAATTTAAAAATAAAAAACTTCTACAGGTGTTTTTAAGGCTATTTACGCGAGTTTGTACACTACTTTACCTACAACAGTGTTTTAATTACTAAAATTCACTACTCATAAGAGAGGTTATGTTTTTGTAATAACCTCCCACTGACAGTGATGCAGGGAAATATTGTATCAAACACTAAATGCACCACTCAACAATTGAATTGGCCTGAACAGCTGATTAGTTGAAGTTTGAATTATTACAATTTTACTTCTTCTCTCTCAATCCTTGAATCTCATTTGTCTGTTTCCCGTGTTGTTATGAGAAAAACTATGCTGTTATGAAAGTAAACAATGCTGTTATGTGAAACTTTTCAACTCTAAGAACTGAACTGAAACGGCTACTTTAAGAAACGGTCGTAGGTAAAATAATTTTAAAAACCTTTAGGACAAAATAAGGAGCTTAAAATTAAAAGCATTTGGTATTCACTCTTTAATATTTTTGTTATAGGAAAGTTTTTTTTATTTTTAAATCCATTGGTTATAGTGAGTAGGCTACTTAATGTTTACAAAAGGTCTTAAAAATGTCATGATGGTTTGAGAACAAGTCAGCAAAAAGGATGAGGATCAATAGCACAACTATATTGATGTTCACCCTTGATAGTAATGTCAGTATCAATCATCGATGTACCAATGACATTGTCGAGGAAAAACATTGATAATTTTATGTTTTCCTTTTAGAGTTTTTGTCTGCTTTCTGCCCCAGCTTAACCTACAGCTCCTACTGCACACAAGCACAGTAATATTTATTTTTGTTGTCTATACTAATAGCTAGACGTTCTAGATGGGGCAGTTTCTCTTCCAAATTTGCAAGAATCAAAATATCGGTCTTCATTTTGATTATGCAAGAGAAGGAGTGCTGTTGCTAAATTAATTACAATTTAATATATTTTTTGGCAGCATTTAGAATAAGCATCTACACAAAGGTAGTTTGACTACTATTTTAACAACCTGTAACCAACAAAACCTGCCAAACCATAATAATTTAACACCTGGGTTTCTCACTACTCTTTTCTAAGTATAGTTCAGTTTGCGATGGATCCGATAATTTATCAGCCTTAGTCAGCTGTAAATAAAAATTATAAATAACTATTTTCCTCGCAGCTAAATAACTTATTGAGCGAAGCTCACTTTCCCTCACTTTGTAACTTCTTTGTAAGAGCATCAGAATGTAATGGCTTGACCAATTGATATGAAATTTGGCCAACAGCTAAAGAATACTGAGCACAATTTTTATTATGGTAAAAAATATTTGCAAATGTCCTTCTGGATTTTATTTTACGGGTCACGCAATTTCGCTTGTTATTTTAATGCAAGTTAAAAGAAAAATTATATTGGGTTTATGACATATGGGTTTATCTTGTTTCATTTAAATAAGATAAACATATGCTAATTGTTTGTAACTGTTTTGTTTACATTTCAATGTTTACACTCATCCTAGGTTAAAGTTGGAATGTAACAGTTCATCAATGGAAGTAACAGTTTTGCTATATTTGTTTTGAGCATGCCTCAAAGGCCACATCGTAATATTGGTCGTTGCACCTATAATGCAAATATTGTAAGAGAGTGGCGTCGTGAACAAGAAGAACCAGATGAAGCAGTGGCGGAAGAAGCTGATAATGATAGGCAGTTAGCTAATCAATTCCAACATGAATTAGATGCACTAAAATTTTACACTTGCAGTCAAATACACATGTCTAATAACCTTTTATCAATTCTTATACTTATTCTTATTCTTAACTAAATAAATGAACTATCAGATAAATTTGTCATTCTTTAATCTTTAGAACTTAAATAATATCGGGCAAACAAACAGTGAATCTGTTGAAAGGGAACATATTGTAGGTTGTTAGCTGCTTTAGCCATTGACAATCTTTAAATAATGCTTCGCTCATTTATGCGTCTAAAGTGTAACGGCAGACCACCCTAGTTATATAATTAAGTGGAACATTAGGCCTACATTACAATTAGTCATCTGTTTGCCATGACTGACAAGTTAAAATTTTGTGTTTTTTGCTTATCAATCTCACAGTTGATTCTCTGGCTTGTTCAAATATGAAATCCTATCTCTTGCTTAGAGTTACTTTTCATAGAGATGAAGTTTTTAAAGTATAACACTAAAGAAACACTGTTAACACGCCGATAATAAGTACGGCAGGCTAACTGAAATTAGTTTTAGGAATAAGTTTGAAAATGAAGATGGGAAGGAATCTAATGTTAAATGGGTTAAATTATCACATGATGTGCATAAAAAGGTGGCCGGGCCAGGTAACCTCATGAGAAGAGACCAAATTTTAAAATCAACGATGTTTTGTAACATTTAAAGGCCTACAACTTTTTGAATGCAAATTTAGACTTTTAAGCAACCTAAAAATATGTTTTGAAATGCTTTGCATTGCAATAATTTGCAAGGGTGAACCTCTTCTCAAACAGTATTTATGTTAGCTAATAAAATATAGAATACAGTATTTCGGAGGAAGATATATCCCTCCCATCCCCCCCTCCTGGGACCGCCACTGGCTTGTCAAGGAGTTGAGGCCTGGCCATATTCTATTGACGATTATTCCGGCATTCAAAGTAAAATTTGTGGTATTTTTGCGAGGGTATTTTCGAGTGTGTGTTTGTTGATTTCCTTATCTTATCGCCAAAGATAGTTCCAGCAGTGCTGGGTTTAAATTTCCAGGGCTCGAATAAGAATATAAGTTTGGCAAACAAAATATTGTTGGTCTCAAATTCCTCTCATATACTAAATTTGTTTAGAATAACCTATCATTCCCATCACACACGTGCACGTTTCTAAGAAAAATTATTTGCAATCACACTAGGCAACTAGTAGGCCTATCTTGATAAGTTTAGTGAGTAAAGTGAAATGCTTCTAATATTCTATCATATCATGTCATTAGTGGAGACAAGCAGTCAGGCCTTACGACGTCTATTGTTGTTAAGTTTTAAGGCGTAAGAGAACTGTGTGAGGACTGAGGAGTTGCTTCGCAAGTAATAATAATAAGTAGACTAAACAGAAGTGGATTGGATAGGAAAGATACATTTAATGCCTCTGCTTCGCTTAATGCAATCATTTAACTAGCAAGTGGGGACCCTCAATCGTACTACAATATTAAGTGTGCGGTTGACAGTACGGTACCCAAGATCAATACCTCTCCAGCATTAATAATACCTGCTGAGCTCGTAATCCCCAGAGTTTTAGTCACTTAAATCGAACATATCCTAATACTCACACTATTGTGTTTTTTCTCATCGGCGAGTGCTTTTCACCGCTACTTACTATGTCACACCTAGCGATTAGTAGCTGTGCAAAGTCACAGCCTGGCTGGACTTTAGTTTACGCCCCACATTTGTTTGATAAAAAAAAAATCAATACTGGTACATCGATTATTCCATTTGACTGTTCAATCCATTATTCTATCGATTTTACTTAGTTTTTAGCTAATTTCCTATAGGGAATAAGCTATTTAAAAAATTTTCTTTACTGTTTCTATTGTATTATTTTTGACAAAAGCTATACAGGGAGTCCCGTAAGTAGCCTAAACAGCCAAACTCCGGGAAATGGTTATGGGTCACAAGATTTTTTCCAAAATCGCTTTGTTAACCAGATATCCACAATTTTGTATTTTTTACATAGGGGTTTAACATTTTTATTTTTCGATTTTTTCAACTGATCTTTATAAAACACTAGCTGGCCCGACAGACGTCGTCCTGTCCTATTGTTGTTTTATGTCACATGCTCGTTCATTTTCAAGATGAGCTCGTTCGCATGGCTCAATCACGTCCTGGTTGAAGTTCGTTCGCTACGCTCACTCACCTTTAGGTCGGAGCTCGTTCGCTGCGCTCACTTGCCTTCAGGTTAGCTCGTTCGCTACGCTAACTCGCCTCCAGGTTGAAGTTCGTTCGCTGCGCTCACTCACCTTTTGGTTACAAATTAGCTGTTCTCATAAATTAAAAATAAATATAGTGCTGCACCCTGTTGGTAAACCTATTAACTTTTTAATGCTATTGAACATCACAGAATCAAATTGTTTAGTTGCACCAGCTGTTAAGATTCTTTAATTCCATTTAAATATGAGTACTCATAAGGTTAACATGGGAAACTCCAGAATCACTGGGGCGGAGCCCTATTGACGGATCTGCACCAAACTTCACACAAACCATCCTTGAATATTTAATAATGCCTGAACGTTTCATTACAATCTGTCGAGCGGTTTTGGAGTCCATAAAGGACAAACATACAAATATACAAACATACAAACATACATTGGATTTTATATATATAGATGGTATAGTAGGTTAAGGTAGAAAAGCCCCATGTTGGAAAAATAAATCATCTCGATTCAACTTAAAAAAATTTTAAATGGCAGCCATTTTAATTTTTTAAACTACCTACTCAAAAATGACAAATTCTATGAAAAAATGCCATGAACACTTTTATTTAAATAACTTCTTGATCAGCATTGTAAGTGTTATTAAATTTACGGAAAGTAAATAAAATAAACGTCTTATAACACTTAAAACATATATTTACGCTTATAATGTTACTCACAAGACGGTAAATATACAAAAGAGATGGTAGGTAAGTGGTGATCGATTTCGATTGGACACTCCAATCATCATCAGACCCAATAGGTGAATCGGTAAGTGGTGATCGATTTCAATTGGACACTCCAATCATCATCAGACCTAATAGGTGAATCAATCTAATAGGTGAATCATTCACCTATTGATTCACCTATTGGGTCTGATGATGATTGGAGTGTCTAATCGAAATCGATCACCACTTACCATCTTTTTTGTATATTTACCGTCTTGTGAGTAACAGTATAAGCGTAAATATATGTTTTAAGTGTTATAAGACGTTTCTTTTATTTACTTTCTGCACTTTTATTTAGCATTTTTAATTCCATATCAAACTGTACCAAGTTCAAAAACATTGAATAAGAAATAGGCTAGCTGAAATATTACGATTTTTAGTTGTAAAATGGGGTATAGAACAAGGCAGAAGCTGAGGTTTGCCCCATTTTACAACTAAAAATCGTAAAGTTTCAGACATTTCTTATTCGATCTTTTCGAACTTGATATTGTTTGAAAGGGAATTGAATATGCTAAATAATAAGTTAGTGTTCTTGGCATTTTTTCATAAAATTCCTGTTTTTGAGTAATTTAAGTTTAAAAAATTAAAATGGCCGCCATTTTGAAATTTTATGTTGGGTCAAGATGATATTTTGACCCAAAGAACCATTTCCCAGAGTTTGGCTGTTTACTTACGGGACACCCTGTATATTGTAATGAAAGTGTTCTAATCTAACCTAAGTTTGGGTTAGTTTTGTTTGGTTAGTTTAGAGCAGTTTCATTTATTAATCCATATCCAGCCTATATATTGATCGGTGGGGCACATGGGAGGGACTAAGGCTAATATATCTTGTAGTGTCAGCGTTCGCCGCTAGAACCGCTAAGTTGAAAAAAATTGATTTTTTTTAATTTTTAGTTATAAAATTAACTTTTTAATTATAAAATATTGTTTTAATATTATAAAATAAATTTTTAATTTTTAAAATAAAACTGTCATAACATAACCTAACCAACCAGACTTGCTGATAATTTAAAAACTGTATAATATGAAAATCTAGACTAATTAATGATTACTTATAATTTTTAATTAATTTTAAAATTTAGTATTATAAAATTAAACTGTCATAACCTAACCTAACCAACCAAACTTGCTGATATGAAAAATTTGTTGACAAAAAGTTAGTGCTACCAGCGGGATTCGAACACGGTACCTCCTATACATCAAATCGAAACGCTACCAACTATGCCACGAACGCCGCTGAAAACACATTGTTTCGTTACGGTAATCGTGTTGCCTCAAGAGTAGACATTAGCCACTAGAATTATGACGTCACTACACCTTTAGCCTTAGTCCCTCCCGTGTGCCCATTCCATATATTGATTTGCCTAAACAAGATCAGTAGGTAGTCAATTTGTAATTTAAATGCGTTTGAAGATTTTAAGTTAAAACAGAACTAATATGTATTGGATATTTACAATTGAGTAAAATTAAATTTCATGTTGATGGCCCCTGGATTACTATATTGACTATAATAATGTGGCATAAATACCTCGTCAAGTAATCCAAATGATGTTCATCTGAGGTTAAAAACCTACATTTTTCACCTTTAATAAGTTTTACAGCATCGTCAGGGTACAAAAACATAAAAAGACATTACTGTCACACGCACACAATAAATAAATAACATGAAAAGAACATTTAGATAGGCCTATCAAACGACGCAGGCGGTCCCGGTGCAGGTTAGTAGACTGCAGCGTGAGACTCCTTCCTCATTGTTGTCCACGTTATCAGCAGGATAAAGGTCAGGAGGACCAAAGTTACGGACCACCTGACTGTTGTTCTGCTGAAACGTGGACAACAATGAGGAAGGAGTCTGACGCTACAGTCTACTACCTGCATGGGACTGTTCGCGTCGTGTGATACACCTATCTAACATAGGCCTTATATGTTTGTTTCGTGTTAGGGGGCCTATTTGTTTATTGTGTACAGGTGACAGTAATGTCTTTTATGTATATTTGCACCCTAACGATGCCATAATAATGGTGAAACACGTAGGTTTTTAGCCTCACAAGAACATCATTTGGATTACTTGATGAGGTAATTATACCACATTATTATAGTGAATGAAATAAGTTAATCAATATATCAATAGTTGCAACCCTTTATTATATAAGGCAATGGCTTTAACATCAAACCAAGATCAAAGGAATATCATATTTTTTCGATAGAACTGGTTATTTGTTAGGTATATCCATAGGCCTAATGACAAACACAATTTTTACCTTACAGTAATGTCTACTGAGAGCTCCTTTTTGTTCAACAGTCAACAGTAACAGTAACTTAAATATACCTAAAAATACGTACATTACACAATCCTCAAGTGGTAGTCCTATTTTTTATTGTTCGAAGTTCATTAATTAAAATTCTTGAAATCTTGATGGTTGTAGCCTTTCACAATCCATCCCATCCACTCCACGGCACAAAAAGTTTGCTGGCTGCTGGGCGCTGGCTGAATTGAAAGAATGCTGCTGACTGGCAAGTTAGTGGCTGAGTCAGCTGACTAGACTCAGCTGTCTGTAGTCAGTCTCGGTTGCTGGGCGGGCTGGCTGAAGCTGACTGACTTAAGGGTTGAAGGAAGACTGAAGTGAAGAGTGAAGATAGAGTTGAGACTGTGAGTGAGCTGAGCCACGGCCGCCTTTAACTCCAGGCACGGCCACCTTTAACTCCAGGCCGCGGCCTGGTAGAATTGGCAACGTTGCAAGTAGGGTTACTTAGTGTCAGACGTCCCATAAGATAAAATTGCAGACAGGTTACATCCGCTCATTAATTTACACTTGATTGATTTAAATTTATATTTATGAACATAAATTTATTAAAATATTGAAAATAAAACATACATAATTGAAAACCAAAACAATGTGAATTGAAAATCTATATCTGTACATTTAAATTGGAGTCTATATTTTCATAGTCCAGTACCGTAAACTGGTGCTACTTGGAACACTTTTCAACTTTAATGCTAAACAATTTGTAAACTAATTAAAATTTTAAATATATAACTATTCAAAACTTTGAGTAGTGCCTTCTACTACACACTCATCACATCAGATTTTGTTTTAAGATTTTTATATACATATAAAAAAATAATAAAATATGGGTGTTCCAAGTTAGACCTCTAAAGGGGGTAACTTGGAACATCAATACTTTTCCATTGTAAAGGTATTGATAACTGAATTTGGTTCCAATAAAACATACACAGGGGTTACATGGAACACAAAAAGAAGTTTTTAAAAAAGAAAAATGTAGGTACCCAAGCTTTCGTAAGTACACAAATACCATAAGCTGCTTCAAAAAAAAAAAAAAAAAAAAAAAAAAAAAAAACATCTGTTAGAACCATACCATAGACTCATACGTTGCCCACGGCCGCCTTTAACTACAGGCCACGGCCTGGTAGAATTGGCAACGTCGCAAGCGCCAAGTGGTGTTGTTCAGTGACATACGTGCCATAAGATAACATGGCAGACATGTGACATCAGCTCATTAATTCACAAATTTTTGATTTAAATTTATGAACATAAATGTATTAAAATATTGAAAATAAAACATACAGAATTGAAAACCGAAACAACATGAATTAAAATCTATATCTGTACATTTTTAAGCTGAGTCAATATTGTCATAGTCCAGTAACCAATCTTTTGTAAATACACAAATACCATAAGCTGCTTAAAAAAAAAACAACAAAAAAAACAGCTGTTACACCACTTGCAACGTTGCCAGTTCGAAGGCCGCGGCCTGGAGTTAAAGGCGGCCGTGCGTTGCCACTTCAAAGGCCACGGCCTGGAGCACGGCCGCCTTTAACTCCAGGCCACGGCCCAACCATGATCTTCCTCAATGATCCCACCAGATAATATCGCAATCTTTATATTGAACATTGTAACCATTAGTTACTAGTTACTATTTTTAAAACGAATATAACCATGTTAATAATTTTGCAGCCATGTGACTTAAGAAAGTGTTCTGTCAAGGCCAACTTTAACAGGCCGTGGCCTTCGAAGTGGCAACATCGCAAGTAGGGTTGAAACAGCTGTTTTGTTTGGAACCGGCTAATGGTATTTTGTGTATTTTTTTAAGAATACAAAAGCTTGTTTACTGGGCTATGAAAATATTTACTCCAATTAAATGTACCTGAAAATACAGAAATATATAGGTCTAATGACACTTGCAATAATATATTTACACTTATACTGTTGACTTACAAGACACTGTTACTGTTTGGTAAATACATGTAAAAGTTGGTAAGTGGTGATCGATTTCGATTGGACACTCCAATCATCATCAGACCCAATAGGCGAATCTACATGTAACCGTCTTGTAAGTCAACAGTATAAGTGTAATTGTGTAAATATATTATTGCAAGGGTTGTTAGACGTATAATTTCTGGATTTTTCAGGTAATTTAATAACACGTACAATGCTAATCAAGAAGTCATTAATTAAATGTACAGAAATAGCTTTTCAAATTAGACATTGTTTAGGTTTTCAATGTTACATTTTCAATATTTTAATAAATGTATGTTCATAGATTGAAATTTAAATTAATAATACGCGAATTAATGAGGTGGTGTCATCTGTCTGCCATGTTATCTTATGGGACGTCTAGCGCTAGACAACCACAGACAACACCACTTGCAACGTTGCCAATTCTACCAGTACCAGACCGCGGCCTGGAGCAATGAATACAATCAATAAAATGCAAGCAATAAAATGCTTGTATTCATTGCCTGGAGTTAAAGGTGGTCGTGGTTCTGTATTAGATGGCAATATCATAGATAAAGATAAAACCTAAAAAACATACTCCTATGTTTTATCTATGGCAATATTAAACCATTGACTATTAAACTGAAGAAAGAAATCAAAATGAAAAAAGATGTTACCTATCGAACCACACGAAACGGCACACGGAAGATTTCTCAGGTGCCGTTTGACGTCACTAACTGCTGACATCACTTTGAGGGAACACCAATACCGCAACGATACGGCATTGAGCCATCGGCCTCGGTGGTGTAATGGATAGCGTCGCGGGCTGATAATCCGAAAGTACCGGGTTCAAATCCCGCCGGCGGCACTAACTTTTTATCAGCAATTTTTTTCACATCAGCAAGTTTGGTTGGTTTGGTTAGGTTATGACAGTTATTTTATAATTGAAAAATTATAAAATTGAATTTTAGGCATTTATAATTTTATTTTATTAACAAAACTATTTTTTTTATTAGTAAACCTTTATTCGATTCTTCCATTATCAGCACGTTTGGTTAGTTTGGTTAGGTTAAGACAGTTTAATTTAATAATAGAAAATTATAAAATTGTCTGTTTCTTCAGACGCAGCAGTTAGTGACGTCAGCAGTTAGTGACGTCAAACGGCACCTGAGAAATCTTCCGTGTGCCCCACCGTCGAACCACAGGGTTGCATATTTTATACCTAGGAAAGCCGGCCAATTGTGACAATGTAAAAAGATTTTAAACTTCTTCCTAACCTAAAAAGTAAATAAAAATAAACATAGACGATAGACATGACTGACTATAGTGACTATGTAATTGTGATTATATTTGAGTTTTAACTTAACTTTTTTTTTTAAATTTAACTAAACATACATCATACATCAATTATTAATGTATGTTTAGTTAAACAAAACTATGTTAAGAAATTTTCCTGTGGTCAAATTTAATTGAAAATTTTCCTTAGTCCAAATAGCAGTCAAATTAAACTTAAGAGCAATTAGGCTACATCTAACAACTTTCATATCCAACACAAAGGTAATGTCAGGCAAGAGTAAGCTAGGTACCTAAGTTTCTTAGCAAAGCAACAAAAATTTAGGCCAGATACAATACAATACAATATTCTTTATTGTTAATTCGTCAAGAATTACAATAGTGTCAATCATCGTAATGTTTAACTTATTTAACGATAATGTTTAACTTATTTCTAAAGTAGTCTTTACCAAACTAATTGGGTACAGTTCCACCTCCACGAGAACCTGCAATAATATTTTCGGATTTAAATAGGCCTAACGTTAAATTGATAAATATCGATATGTATTTGGTTCGATACTAGGAATATTGTAAGTTACTGAATTTAACTAACTTAGGCCTATGCTATACAATATAAATAAATATCCCTGCCACAGCAAACATGCCGACTAAGCAAATTTCCATTTGTCTGAATTGATTCTCAATTAAATCTAAGTATGGTAGGCCTACTTAAATAGCCTAATATTAGGTGTAATGAGTAGGCTACCTAGGTTTGCTGAAACAAGGAAACTAATAACTTAGTGCATTTTTTGAAAAATATCAATACCTAGCTTAAAACAGTAGACTCCCTGTTTTCTGGACACCTTTTAACCGGACATCGGTTTAACTGGTCTACACACAGTGGAAATTACATCTCTTTAACTGGACAGTTTCTATCAGCACATCGGTTTAACTGGACTAGATCGGCAGAAAGTGGGCGGTACTGAAATGGCTGTTCTCGTGGGAAAGATTTGAGACCAGTGATCACGTGTCTAAATGCAATGCTTATTTTTTACCCCATAAAATCCTCCATAAACCCCCCTTCCCATGGTTCGATCATGCTGGTTTGCGAACTCATTCAAGTTTATCCTGCCTTACACTTTTTGTACAAAAATTACCGTACCGGTACTCAAGTTATCGCGTTCACGGACATATATAAGTATAGGTGAGTCAGTGGCTGAGTTGGTAGCGTCAGGGACTTTGGGCCCAAGGCAGCGTGTCGTGGGCTCGGATCCTGGTCAACTGCCGCAAACATTTTATCAGTACAGTTCACCTTTGTACTGTACCGGTTCACCCCTTGCTTTGTTGGATAGGTTCCATGCACAGATCTGTAGTCTATTTGGACCGGCAAATGGCAAGGTTAAAAGAGGCCGCCAACCTCTTTAAAAAATATATAAGCTTATATACAAATTTGAACCAATGGTTTTTTTGGCCTCTGAGGACATCAAATTGAAAAAGTTAATCGGTCCTGGGCCGATAGCGAGTAGATACTTAGCTATTTCCCGATCTAGGAAAATTTGCTAAAACCAAAACATTAATGAATCTTTTTCTTTATTTTATCCTTATATTGGTTATTTTCTAAGATGTTTAAGAATAACAACATGGAAGACTGGAAGAATGAATTTTTGATTTATATGACGTGGTTACCGTATCGTATAAACCGTCACCTAAAGATTTAAAACAATTTTTGGTTAAATATTGATAGTTGTAATATTCATGAAATAAATATGAAAAAAACCTTAAACATCATGAATCATGTTTTTGGGAAAAAAATAAAAAAAAATTTCTAATCAATACATCGAATTAGATAGATTGATATATCGTTTCATCCAATAAAATGTCTCAGGTTCTCTGCAGAACTGTACCCAACAAATTAATATATTTTACCATCATAAAGTAGTTTAGTTATGTATATATTTTTTTATTACAAGTGTTCTACCAAATCTGCAAACTTTTTAAACTTTTAATTCCAGATAAGTAAGTTATCAGAACATGGCAGATTTGATACCAGTTTCTCATGTAATATTTGATTTGGATGGACTTCTTTTAGGTGAGTAATATTTATTCAATTTCTTTCTTAATCAAACAACTTCTTACTAGCCTAGATTATTTAGGTAGGTAGTGGCCCAATGTAAAAAGGTATGAAAATTGATAGTAGTAGCCCCACTTCTATGAAATAATTAGGAACTGATACATGGTGTCTACTCTCCGGGAAATTCGGGAAAACCGGGAAACCTCCGGGAATTTGATCTTACCTTGAAATGTCCTGGAAAACTCCAGGAATCCACCCAAACCTCCGGGAATCCTTAGCCCAGTCATCGGAATCGTCGCCTAACCGAAACACTACCGCTTTTGTTGCCACGATCGCGGGAAACGATTATCGGTGTTGCCGAAACCGCAAGATATGCTCACGGGTATTGCCGCGATCGCGAGTGACGATTATCGGTGTCGCTGAAACCACGAGATATGCCTACGGGTGTTGCCGCGATCGCGGGAAACGATTATCGGTGTTGCTAAAACCGCAAGATATGCTAACGGTTATTGCCGTGATCGCGGGAGACGATTATCGGTGTCGCCGAAAGTGCGAGATATGCCTACGGGAGTTGCCGCGATCGCGGGAAACGATTATCGGTGTTGCTAAAACCACAAGATATGCTCACCACGGGTATTGCCGCGGTCGCGAGAGACGATTATCGTTGTCGCCGAAACCACGAGATATGCCCACGGGTGTTGCCGCGATCACGGGAGACGATTATCGGTGTCGCCGAACCCGCGAGATTTCCTCACGGCTATTGCCGCGATCGCGGTAGACGATTATCGGTGTTGCCGAAACCGCAAGATATGCCTACGGGTATTGCCGCAATCGCGAGAGACGGTTATCGGTGTCGCCCAAACCGCAAAATATGCATACGGGTGTTGCCGTGATCGTTGACGGTGTGACGTTTTGTCGCTGGTGTTGAAGATACTGCAAGATATGCTCACTGATATTCCCACAATCGCGGGAGATGATAACTGGTGTCGCCTTACCTACCAGTTATATTGTTTTATTATGTTGTATAAAATATTATTCTTTGGAAATGTTTTGTTTCAAATAATAATAATAATCATTATTATTAATAATAATAATAGCCTAATAATAATCATTTTCATTTATTAGCGGGTTGCGATTAGTTAAACGGGTTCCGATAGTAGCTCCTTAAAATTCAGGAATTTGTCTTGAATTCTCCTGGAAAACTCCTTGAATTTTTCAAACCAGGTTTAGTAGACACCATGTGATAAGTTAACAGGTACCGGTAGCCTAATGTAAAACCAATTATGTAAATTATTGTGACAAGATGAATGACGGGAACCCCCTTGCTTGAAACAATTAGGAACTGATAAGTTAACAGGTACCGGTAGCCTAATGTAAAACCAATTATGTAAATTATTGTGACAAGATGAATGACGGGAACCCCCTTGCTTGAAACAATTAGGAACTGATAAGTTAACAGGTACCGGTAGCCTAATGTAAAACCAATTATGTAAATTATTGTGACAAGATGAATGACGGGAACCCCCTTGCTTTTTTACTTTTAATGTTATTTGGGGCATCTATAAGAGGACAAAAACTGATGTCGCCCTCCCAGCAGGTGCACAACTTGTTGGGAGGGGGAAGTAGTGTGGAGGTGCGTTCTACAATATCGCTCATATTTCATGAACCAGACACGATAGAAACATTTCAAACTGAAGCATTTTCATTGGTAGCTGTACCTAGATTTTTGTTTAAATTTTATACTTAAAAAAGCCTGGTGTTAAAAACAGCTTATAATTATTTTCTTGCTAACTCAAGAACTCCGTACATATTATTTTAAGGAAAGAACACTTAGTGTTTTGTAATTCAAGTGTTGAACATAGAATACACTCCAAACACAGTACTATTCATTGTTTTATGGGAGTTGTGTAGGCCTAGGTAGTTAAACGGTATTTTGACTTAAAATTTTTTATTTCAAATAAAATGTTAAATTACTCATTATTATCATTGGTATGGGATTTTTCATTGTAAAATCTTTAAAGCAGATGCGGTTTGTAATACAATGCCATTTAAAACATGTTTCTATCGTGTCTAGATAACGAGATATGAGCGAAGTTCTAGAACTCACCTCAGGGCTACTTCCCCCCCCTCCCACCAAGTTGTGCACCTGCTAGGAGGGCGACAACATCGGTTTTTGTCATCTCCAAAGTGCCCCCAACAACAATCAAAAGTCAAAATGCGTTACACTTTCAGTACCTACCCAATTTTTACAAGTTTGTACTACATGTTGATTTCTGCCGCGCAGCGGCGTCACCGTGCTGCTTTATCGGAAACCTCGCATAACCTTGTAATATTTCGATTTAATTACCATATAAAGTCACTTTAGTGTGTTAAACATATTATGCATGATGAAAAACTGTACTGTTTGTTGTTTTAAAATTCTTTTAAAGGGTAGTTTAACGTTATTTAGGGTTTTTAAATCAAATTTTTAAATAAATTGTTAAATAATTCAATTAATATCATAGATACGGGGCTTTTCCTTGATATTCTTTTCAAGCAAACGAAGTTGGTAATAAGTTTACAATGCCGTTCAGAGCTCTTTTCTGATCGTGTCTAGTTCACGGGATATGAGCGATTTTCTAACACATCTCAGAGCACCTTCCCCCTCTCCCCCCAAGTTGTGCACCTGCTGGGAGGGTGACAACATCGGTTTTTGTCATCTCCAAGAAGCCCCCAACAACAATCAAAAGTAAAAAAGAGTAACACTTTCAGTGCATACTCAACCCCCTATTGATGTTGGACTATAGGCCCTTGTGCTCGATGTTACACCCTTGTAATTTTTATAAGATAAACTTGTACGCTTTCTGATTGATAATGATTAGTATGTGTAATAACCGCTCCACTACCCAGGTACATAGTTATGAACTAAATCCTTAACTTTCAGATACTGAAACTATCTACAAAGAAGGAGTGGTCAAAATTTTAGCCAAGTTTGGTAAATCCTATTCAGATGACCTGAGACTAAAAGCAATGGGTACAAAGGAACAAGAGTTCTTAAAAATACTCCACGAAGAGCTGGAGCTACCCTTATCATTGGAAGAATTTTCCAAAGAATACTTGTCACACTTTACTGTTGCACTTGCCAATGCAGAACTAAAACCAGGTAGGTCCTGATCTCATATTGATTTGTTTACTAAGTGACCTGCAACCCTACTTTAATATTAAAGTTATTTGTAGAGTATTTTTTTACTGTATAGTTCCATGAACTTGTAATGTTAAATTGGGTGTTGAGTTGGCAGACAACAAGATATGGTCACATAAGTGTGTTGCCTTGACCGTTAAATGATCACAGTTTCACCAAGAATGCAAAATATGGCAACAAAACGAGTGTTGTCGCGAAAACGATCACGATACCACCCGATACCACCAGAACACAGATGTTTACGCAATGGCGGGATATCATCGTTGCTTGCTATGAAATATTTATTCATTGGCCAATGCTGGCCTTTCTGCAGGTCGGATGTGGCCCAGGGTCGGTAGTTTAAAGACCCCTGCCCTAGAGGATGGCCCTCTTTAATCTTACAACAAATCTGTTCATTTTGGACACGTATAATTCCTGAAAAAGTGTTATACAATAATTTTGTTCTTCTTTTCTTACATGTTTGGTTTATTTTGCCTGTTAGTAATTTTCAAACACTAACTTTTAACTATTTTAAACCTAGACAACAAATAAAGATCAAATCGTTTTAATTTATGACGATGATCTTTGACACTCATTTGAGGATATATCAATAGCAAGACCAGTTATAAAAGATATTAAGTTTACACTCCAATCAGTAGCCTTTATTTGCTGGGATGTAGGTAGTAGTATATTACTTAAACAGTTATAACGTGAAGCCATTTAATTTTATAAAAAAACCTATTTCAGACATAGTTTTTTCAATTTCTAAGATTGTTCAAGGTGCAGAACGCTTAATTCAACATTTCCACTCCAAAAGAGTTCCGATGGCTGTGGCTACTAGTAGTGGACAAGAGACTTGTGAGGTCAAGTTGAAGAGATACTCCCTGTTGTGTTCTTACTTCAGTCACATCGTCATGGGAAGCTCAGACAGCGAGGTAGTCAAGGGTAAACCTGCGCCCGACATTTTCTATGTTGCTGCGCGAAGATTCAAAGACGTCCCAAGTCCAGAAAAAGTAAGGCGTGGATACATTTATTTTAAATATCTTATTACAAAACCAAAGTTCTTTACCATGCATGTTTTATGCATTAAAAAGGTTTTTTTCCTACAGTTACCTAACAATGTACATGTTCTCTCACTGATTTGAGAAAGCAAAGTGGCCAATTCTCTCATCAGTGAGACAATGTTAACATTGTCTCACTCTAATTACTTTGTCTCACCCCAGATTTGCAACGTGTAGGCACGAAACAGTGAGCGCGTAACATGCAGACAACGTCGTATGCGCGCGAAATACGTTGGCAGCACTGGCTGTAAATCAGCTGGTCAGCTGTTGTACTGTTGTATTTGTCACTTCACATTAAATGTTATATTAAAAGTTCACTTCTGTGTAAAAATATGTTACGTTTCTTCACCAATTTATTTGTTTTATGGTAACTGTAGGAAAAGTATAATGTGCAACTCGAGTGCAAAGTACAATTGCCTCACTCGAGAGAGCAATTTCTCTCGAGTGAGTCAATTGCTCACTTTTCTCACTAGTTGCACAAATAACTATTGTTAATGTAACAAAATGACATTTGTTAACTACATTCCCAAATCCAACTTTGATAATTTCATATTACTTTTGAATAATCTTTTGCGTTTTTCCAAGAAAAAGGTGGGATACACACCATCAATAATTTCACTTTGTTTTGTTATTTAACATTTTGTTAACTCTCCAGCAAAGGGAGTTGTCGATTTTGCATACAGCCCTAGTCCTGTATATTCTGGATCCGTCCAACGTTTGACAATATGTTTTCTTTTGACCAAAGGATTAGGAAATTAATTTTTAACCGTGGCTAAAATATTTTAGGGCAACAGCGCACTAGCCCGACCACGACCATCCACTTACGGCCAGTTTTACAATAAATGTACCTGTATTGTTTTGTGCGGTTTAGGGATTGATGATTACTTCTGCTATGTTGCAGCTTGATTTTGACTCTAGAGTTTTTGTATGCCTTTTAAAAAGAGGCCCGTCAATATATCTTCAAATTGATTTAGTTAGTTCTCCATTTAATTTTGCAAAGACTCTCCTTCTGTAGACCTGGTAGCCAACTTTGAAATCACCCAGTATTGATTTTATTTCCTTATGATACAAATGCTAAAACAGTCTCAAGTCTTCAAAGTCTATCTCGACACTGAAGCTTGGCGTGAATTCGTCATAGTCAATGTTGTGGCCGTGCTCTAGACACAAGAAATACAACTGCTAGCGGAGATTTCGTTTTGGTTGGGCAAGCGTGCCATAACACTTTTTGTATTTATTGAATTTTAGTTAATGTTAGAAGCCAGCTAATAAACACAACAAAATGTTCCACAATCCCATAAAAAATATGCCTTTTTAGGTCCTCCTTTGTGAGTTTTCAGGTAATTTTTATTTGATATATTTTAGACTAAATAAAACGATTACTTGGATTTTTAACACAACTTGTATAAAATACTTTTATTTTGAGCCTACAATACAATTGACCCAAGTTTAAAAAAAAAAAATCAAAACCATCTTGGTCTAACAAGCTTTGATAGTAAACTTGTTATAAACAACATGAAATTACACTATTTTTTTTTTGTTTTAACAGTGTTTAGTTTTTGAAGATTCGTACAATGGAGTGATGGCAGCTAGAGCCGCTGGCATGAAATGAAAATGAAATGAAATGAAAAATCCTTTATTTTTTCAGGCAAAGTTAGGGCCACATGGCCCTTTCTTACACTTAACCTGACATTAAAAATATAACATAAATAATGTAACATAGGGATAACTTAATCTAATTAAACATAAAATATTTAACAATTCAAGTACCTACATATCTAAAAAAAACATAAAAATTTAACAAATAGAAAAACACATTCACACACTCTCGCATACACGCATCAGCAATCGCGCAAGGTAACAGTAGCCCTAGGACACGCCAGCCGAGACCATCTTCTCAAAATAGAGCTTTTTCAGTGCCGCCACAAACTGGGAACGTTTTTCAAGGGTCTTAATGCGTAGGGGTAGGCCGTTCCACAGACGACAAGCGGTAACAACAAAAGCCCTGCCATAAGCTGTGGTCACATGATGAGGTATCCGCAATGTAATCGAAGAATAACGAGACATTCGTGAACTACCCTGAGACACAAATTTAAAATCGGATTTGAAATATTTTGGGGAGCCTGTTTTCAAAATTGAAAAAACCAATGACAAAATTTTAATGAATCTTTGATCATTTAATTTCAGGATGTGTGCCTCAAGGTAGTATGGCGTGATATGCTCCATACGTCGCAGACCATAGACAAATCTCAAACAATAATTCTGTGACCGCTGGAGCATACCCGCCTGAGTCGCAGTCAAGTCATTGATCAATGAGTTGCAGTAACTGAAGTGGGGTAGTACAAGTGATTTGATCAAATGTAGTTTAGTGTGTTGTGGTAAAAAATTCTGTAATCTTTTCAATGAATGTATGGAGGCAAAAACCTTTTTTCGTGTGTCCGTAACTGCTATGTCCCAAGTAAGTGAAGAGTTGAAAGATATACCAAGATTCTTGACATTGTCGTAGTATGGAAGTGCTTTGCCATTAACTGTGATTGGGTTTATGGAGTCTAAGTCAATTGAAGGTCGAAGTCGAGAATGGCTAATGACAATCGGTTTCGTCTTTTCGTGATTTAGTCTCAGTCCATGATTCTCAGTCCAAGTAACAATTCGGTTGACATCTTCATTGATCCTTCTGACACAGTCGTTTTCGTTGTTTGCAGTAAAATGGTCATAGATTTGTAAGTCGTCAGCGTACATGTGGTGTTTACAGTTGACCAAGGTCGAGTTTATGTCATTGACGTACAGTACGAAGAGCAGAGGCCCAAGGATTGACCCTTGAGGCACACCGCATGTAACAGTCACCAAGTCTGATCTCGTGTCACCAATCTCCACACATTGCTGCCTATCTGACAGATAAGATCTCAGCCATTTAAGAGAATTCTGGGAAAACCCTATGGCCCGTAATTTCTGAACCAGCAGGTCATGATTAACACAGTCAAATGCTTTAGAAAAATCAAATAGAGTTAGAATCGTTCCTTGTCGACGCTCCATAGCAAGTTTTATGTCTTCAGTCACTCGAAGGAGTGCTGTCTCTGTACTGTGTGCTGTCCTAAAACCAGATTGATAGTCAGATAAAATGTTGTTTTCTGTGATGAATTCAGTGATTTGACAGTGAACGATTCTTTCTGGCATGCAGGTGGTGATGGTTCCTGAAGATAAAATATCTGAGGAAATTAGAAAAACAGCAACAGTCGTATTGAGTTCTTTAGAAGAGTTCACTCCAGAACATTTTGGCCTACCTGCCTTTGACAGTTAGTTGGTTGTAAACATTTATTGAAGATCCAGCTGTTAATAATTTTATACAGTAATGTACTCTAAGTTAGGTAACACAGAAACTGTTGCTAAAGCTGTGTTTTCCTAAATGCGGAAGAGGGAGCGGAGGGCGGAGAGCGGAAAAGCGATTAACATGGCATTCCGCTCCGCTTCTAGGAAAACAGTAACCTAAGTACAGTACCGGTACCTAAGACAAGAGGAGTCCGCGCTCCGCTTCCTCGCCTCGGAAAACCCAGCTTTAAAGTGTATTTAATTCTAAACCAACATTTCTTGCAAGTGAGTCTTTAGACACTTTTGTAAATTTGTATAAACAGAATCCACTATAGGGAAGATAAGGTTGATGTTATCCGACCAAAGTTTTATGTTGTTACTGTTTTCATATTTTTACTTAATGTTGTGTTTAACCATTTCTTAGGATAGCAGTATTTATTTATTATTGTTTGTTAATGTAAAAATTGTTGAAATATACCTGTTAAAGTTGTAATGTTAAATTGTTTTATTTCATTTAATATCTCCAAGTTATTTAATAATAAGATACGGTATTATAAACTCGGCTCCAGACTGTGCTTTTATTAAGCACGTAATACGTGTACGCTTGAAAGTAAGCTGGCAACACTTAAAGATATTGCGACTACGATCAGCTGGTGCAGCGTTTCCCATTTTGTTCAATGTTTGGATTTAACCTAACCTAAAAACATGTTGTACAGTGTTTGAAAGACTAATTATTTGATTCATAGTAACTGTAGGAAAAATATGATAGGTCAGGACGTGATTGAGCCATGCGAACGAGCTCATCTTGAAAATTAAGAAGTTAAACGGGGCAAAGCCCGCGGGTACAGCTAGTTGTGTATAAAGTTGCAAAATTCCAACCTATACAAAATTAATGCAAAAACTACAAACAGAAATTATGTATACAAAAATAGCCCGAGTGTTTAACTGGTATTTCCTTGATAAAATGGCCAAACAGAGATCTTCTCAAAATGAAAGCAACAAAGACAAGTATTTTTTGTGGGCATTTTTACTGCACTGGTTCCGACACTATTGATGGTTACTTACCTTCAGTCAGGTCAACTATACCACAGAACATTGCTAAGCAGTAACACCAACATCGGCTATCGTTATAAAATTTGGCAGTCCATTGCATGTTGTGTTAAAATTACACATAGTTCACATGACACTAACACAATTATTTACTTTTATAGTGAAATTATAGGCATAGGCTACATCACATATTTGTAGAGTGGCATATCAAGGGCGGTTTTTAACATTAAAATTATTATTAGTTTGAAATGATTGCATACATTATATAAATACTTCTAAAAAGTTCTTTACCATGCATGTTTTATGCATTAAAAAGGTTTTTTTCCCTACAGTTACCTAACAATGTACATGTTCTCTCACTGATTTGAGAAAGCAAAGTGGCCAATTCTCTCATCAGTGAGACAATGTTAACATTGTCTCACTCTAATTACTTTGTCTCACCCCAGATTTGCAACGTGTAGGCACGAAATAGTGAGCGCGTAACATGCAGACAACGTCGTATGCGCGCGAAATACGTTGGCAGCACTGGCTGTAAATCAGCTGGTCAGCTGTTGTACTGTTGTATTTGTCACTTCACATTAAATGTTATATTAAAAGTTCACTTCTGTGTAAAAATATGTTACGTTTCTTCACCAATTTATTTGTTTTATGGTAACTGTAGGAAAAGTATAATGTGCAACTCGAGTGCAAAGTACAATTGCCTCACTCGAGAGAGCAATTTCTCTCGAGTGAGTCAATTGCTCACTTTTCTCACAAATAACTATTGTTAATGTAACAAAATGACATTTGTTAACTACATTCCCAAATCCAACTTTGATAATTTCATATTACTTTTGAATAATCTTTTGCGTTTTTCCAAGAAAAAGGTGGGATACACACCATCAATAATTTCACTTTGTTTTGTTATTTAACATTTTGTTAACTCTCCAGCAAAGGGAGTTGTCGATTTTGCATACAGCCCTAGTCCTGTATATTCTGGATCCGTCCAACGTTTGACAATATGTTTTCTTTTGACCAAAGGATTAGGAAATTAATTTTTAACCGTGGCTAAAATATTTTAGGGCAACAGCGCACTAGCCCGACCACGACCATCCACTTACGGCCAGTTTTACAATAAATGTACCTGTATTGTTTTGTGCGGTTTAGGGATTGATGATTACTTCTGCTATGTTGCAGCTTGATTTTGACTCTAGAGTTTTTGTATGCCTTTTAAAAAGAGGCCCGTCAATATATCTTCAAATTGATTTAGTTAGTTCTCCATTTAATTTTGCAAAGACTCTCCTTCTGTAGACCTGGTAGCCAACTTTGAAATCACCCAGTATTGATTTTATTTCCTTATGATACAAATGCTAAAACAGTCTCAAGTCTTCAAAGTCTATCTCGACACTGAAGCTTGGCGTGAATTCGTCATAGTCAATGTTGTGGCCGTGCTCTAGACACAAGAAATACAACTGCTAGCGGAGATTTCGTTTTGGTTGGGCAAGCGTGCCATTACACTTTTTGTATTTATTGAATTTTAGTTAATGTTAGAAGCCAGCTAATAAACACAACAAAATGTTCCACAATCCCATAAAAAATATGCCTTTTTAGGTCCTCCTTTGTGAGTTTTCAGGTAATTTTTATTTGATATATTTTAGACTAAATAAAACGATTACTTGGATTTTTAACACAACTTGTATAAAATACTTTTATTTTGAGCCTACAATACAATTGACCCAAGTTTAAAAAAAAAAAATCAAAACCATCTTGGTCTAACAAGCTTTGATAGTAAACTTGTTATAAACAACATGAAATTAAACTATTTTTTTTTGTTTTAACAGTGTTTAGTTTTTGAAGATTCGTACAATGGAGTGATGGCAGCTAGAGCCGCTGGCATGCAGGTGGTGATGGTTCCTGAAGATAAAATATCTGAGGAAATTAGAAAAACAGCAACAGTCGTATTGAGTTCTTTAGAAGAGTTCACTCCAGAACATTTTGGCCTACCTGCCTTTGACAGTTAGTTGGTTGTAAACATTTATTGAAGATCCAGCTGTTAATAATTTTATACAGTAATGTACTCTAAGTTAGGTAACACAGAAACTGTTGCTAAAGCTGTGTTTTCCTAAATGCGGAAGAGGGAGCGGAGGGCGGAGAGCGGAAAAGCGATTAACATGGCATTCCGCTCCGCTTCTAGGAAAACAGTAACCTAAGTACAGTACCGGTACCTAAGACAAGAGGAGTCCGCGCTCCGCTTCCTCGCCTCGGAAAACCCAGCTTTAAAGTGTATTTAATTCTAAACCAACATTTCTTGCAAGTGAGTCTTTAGACACTTTTGTAAATTTGTATAAACAGAATCCACTATAGGGAAGATAAGGTTGATGTTATCCGACCAAAGTTTTATGTTGTTACTGTTTTCATATTTTTACTTAATGTTGTGTTTAACCATTTCTTAGGATAGCAGTATTTATTTATTATTGTTTGTTAATGTAAAAATTGTTGAAATATACCTGTTAAAGTTGTAATGTTAAATTGTTTTATTTCATTTAATATCTCCAAGTTATTTAATAATAAGATACGGTATTATAAACTCGGCTCCAGACTGTGCTTTTATTAAGCACGTAATACGTGTACGCTTGAAAGTAAGCTGGCAACACTTAAAGATATTGCGACTACGATCAGCTGGTGCAGCGTTTCCCATTTTGTTCAATGTTTGGATTTAACCTAACCTAAAAACATGTTGTACAGTGTTTGAAAGACTAATTATTTGATTCATAGTAACTGTAGGAAAAATATGATAGGTCAGGACGTGATTGAGCCATGCGAACGAGCTCATCTTGAAAATTAAGAAGTTAAACGGGGCAAAGCCCGCGGGTACAGCTAGTTGTGTATAAAGTTGCAAAATTCCAACCTATACAAAATTAATGCAAAAACTACAAACAGAAATTATGTATACAAAAATAGCCCGAGTGTTTAACTGGTATTTCCTTGATAAAATGGCCAAACAGAGATCTTCTCAAAATGAAAGCAACAAAGACAAGTATTTTTTGTGGGCATTTTTACTGCACTGGTTCCGACACTATTGATGGTTACTTACCTTCAGTCAGGTCAACTATACCACAGAACATTGCTAAGCAGTAACACCAACATCGGCTATCGTTATAAAATTTGGCAGTCCATTGCATGTTGTGTTAAAATTACACATAGTTCACATGACACTAACACAATTATTTACTTTTATAGTGAAATTATAGGCATAGGCTACATCACATATTTGTAGAGTGGCATATCAAGGGCGGTTTTTAACATTAAAATTATTATTAGTTTGAAATGATTGCATACATTATATAAATACTTCTGAAATTCAACAAACCAGTCTTCAACAATAAGTTTTCACTAGATGGGGTTAGTTTGGTAATATATTGATACCTTATCTTAAACGATTTGTACTATCTGTCAAATGAATTAAATGTAGACATGTTCTAGCCTATATGTGTTTGTGTTTCAAAGTGTAACTCTTAGGTATCGTTTATTAGAGTTTAGCATCTCAAAAGGATTTTTCCCAATTTGTGTTCAAATAAGTTTTTACGTTGTTTTTTTATCATTTGAACAGTAAGCCTACTGTAGCATTTTATCGCTGATTGTTTCAAGAAAAAAAAAATTGAAACTATCTTGGTTTTAAATTTAAATTGAAAAAAAATTAATATAAGCTACCTGGATCATCAAAAATAGTTGGACGCTGGGGAAAAATAACTTCTTAGACAATGCAGGAGTTGAGTACTACACCTGTTACTCATGTGATTTTTGATTTGGATGGACTTTTACTGGGTAAGTGGTTTCAGGAAATAGAGCACCTGTACAATTTTACTGCCATAAAACAAGATATCCTTTTATGTAATACGTGAAGGCGATTTCTACGAAACACTAGCTACTCCTCTGTTAATAATGGACAGATTTTTACAAACGATGTGTCAAAATTAAGTATTTTTTGTGTAGATGCCCCCTTTTCCCAATTCCTGTAATAAAAGTCCTCGGGCTTTGCCCCACAGGCCATTAAAACCCCAATGTATTTCTTTTGAAGAAAAAAATTTGTTTACTTATACAGACAAAGAATTTGTACTAATTACAGTTGTTCGTTCATAGTAAACACATGATACACACAAGAGCGTTCGTTTTCAGAGTGAGTTTGTTTTAAGTTTCGATAACTGGAATGGAGTGATTACATTATCTTTGAGTTGAATCTTTTAAGTAGTCGGAAATTATGACTGTTATTCGTTTTGAAATAACACCTGTACCTAATACTTTAATTGCTCGAATTCAAGCAACAGGTGCACTAGTCTATACTATTAATACTATTATAAAACTGAGGTGGTGTCAGTCTGTCTGTCCGGCTGCCACGACTAAAATACTAAACCTATACAGCCCAAAGATTGTCCACATACCTAGGAATGTCATATAGGACTATTCACTTCCCTGAGCTCCTCTCGGGCTAGACCCCTAAGATGTCCGAAGTTTTTAAGTGGTTTTCAAAAGTAAATATTAATTGGTCTCCATGGAAGCATGAGAAAATTGACAATCTTTGTTTACCTTTGCTTTGACATTTCGTAAACAGTCAGAACTGCTAAATACTTATATCACAATTTCAGACAGCTGATCCGAACAAATTAAATAAAATATTTTACAGTAATCTATGGTAGGTTTATTTATGTCTTTGATTATGTACATAAAGAAAGATTCTATAACCGTAAGTTATGAAAATTACGTTATTGATATATTTTAAAGTAAACAGTAGGAAAACACAACTACAATGTAGGTAATACTTTTTTGTAAAACTTAAGTGGTTTTAGCGAATTTCCCATATAGGGAATAAGCTATTACCGTAGTACTCATGGTAAGACCTGGACGTGGGACCGATTTTTTGTTTGTTTTGAGGTCCCTAGAGCCCAAAAACACCATCCGTTCAAATTCATTTATATATATATATATATAAAGATATATATATATATATATATAAAGATATATATATAGATATATATATATATATATTTATATATGTGTCCGTTAGCACGATAACTCGAGCAAAAATGATCCGATTTTGATGAAATTTGGAACAAATGTGTAAACCTACGTTTATTCGAACGAGTTCTCAATCCAGCATGATCGGACCATGGGAACGGGGGTTTAAGGGGTGTTTTATGGGGTAAAAATAGATTTTTCCCATTTTTGACCCAAAAAACATAAAATTTAGCAATTTCTTTCCAAACCATTTTGTAGAGCTTAAAAAAACAAATAATTTAGTATATTGAAGCGTTATTATGCGCCTAATGGTAATGGAGAAAATTCCAAAAAATTGTAAATTTAAAATTCCCATGTTATTCTTATGGAGAATAAGTAAACTGTTGTAGTTTGCTTGTTTATGAACATATTTTGATCAAATTTGGAAAATGTTTTTATTTCTTACTAACTATTAACATTTTACAAAAAAAACAGTTTTACCCTTCCTGATGCAGCAAACCTAAGTACTTGTTAAACTAATTCTATTTAAATCTATACTATTATAAAAAAGAGGTGGTTGCTGTATGTATGGGAAAAGTAAACTCGAAAAATACTGGTCGGATCGGGCTGAAATTCGGCATGATGATAGCTCATATTCCCGATTAACATATAGGCATATTTTTATCCCAAAAATCCTTCCGGGCTCCGCCCCAGTGGCTCTGGAGTTTCCCATGTTAACCTTATGAGAAATGGAATTAATGAATCTTAACAGCTGTTTCAATTAAACAAGTTGGTTCTGTTCTATGATGTTCAATAGCATTAAAGTTACAAGGATTACCAACAGGGTGCAGCACTAGCACTATTATTTCTTTTACATTTATGACAACAGCTAATTTGCAACCAAAAGGTGAGTGAGCGTAGCGAACGAACTTCAACCTGGAGGCGAGTGAGCGTAGCGAACGAGCTAACCTGAAGGCAAGTGAGCGTAGCGAATGAGCTAACCTGAAGGAAAGTGAGCGCAGCGAACTTCAACCAGGACGTGATTGAGCCATGCAAACGAGATCATCTTGAAAATTAAGAAGTTAAACGGGGCAAAGCCTGCGGGTTACAGCTAGTAGGGAATAAATGTTAACTTATATTTTAAAGTAGACATTTCAGTGTAAATCCAATCAGTCAAATGGAAATTCGCTTAGTCTGCAGGTTTGCTGCAGCGGGGGTATTTTGTTTATAAATTCAATCTAACAAGTGTTTGGATTACTTATTTTGTACATCTTCCTGTTGTGAGGCACGGGTACTGCAGCTAGTAATTAAATTAAAATTTAACTCTATGTAAGCCCAAAAGCCGTCATACACGAATAGTTTTGCATATAGAAGCGTTGTTTTACAATAAACAGTTGAAGAGACGGTTAAAAAATATGTTTAAAATTTATATATTATTCGTATGGAGAAAGAGTAAACTGTTTTAGTTTGCTTATGGATATATTTTGATCAAATTTGGCAAATTTATTGATTTTACTCTGAACTATTATTATTTGACGAAAAAAAAACTTTATTCCTTTCCTGTAGCAGCAAACCTAGGTATTCATTAAACCTAATAAGTAATCGTTTGAATCTATCTATATATATAAAAGGCAAAGCCCTCACTGACTCACTCATCACTAATTCTCTTACTTCCCATTTACCTAGGAGGCTGAAATTTGGTACACTGATTCTTTAGGCATTAAATAGGAAAACTAAGTTGTTTATATTCTGATCGGACTCTCGGGCTCCGCCCCAGTGGCTCTGGAGTTTCCCATGTTAACCTTATGATTACTCATATTTAAATGGAATTAATGATGATGGAATTAACAGCTGTTTCAATTAAACAAGTTGGTTCTGTTCTATGATGTTCGATAGCATTAAAGTTAGAAGGATTACCAACAGGGTGCAGCACTATTATTTGTTTTTACATTTATGACAACAGAAAATTAGCAACCAAAAGGTGAGTGAGCGTAGCGAACAAGCTCCAACGTAAAGGTGAGTGAGCGTAGCGAACGAACTTCAACCAGGACGTGCGAACAAGCTCACTTATGAAGTTAAACGGGGCAAAGCCCGCAGGTACAGCTAGTATAAAATAAACCAGACAGACATATAATAAAAAATATTTAAGTAAAAATCCATTCAAACGGAAATTTACATAGTCTGCAGGTTTGCTGTGCCGGGGTATTTATACTTTTTTGAGTAACCTTTTGAGGCAAGATACACAGTAGTAACAATTAATCAAAGCTTGATGTTTGTTTATACATTGATTTATTGGTGTTTTTCCAAATACCCTAATTCCCCCTGACTATAATTTACTGAGCTCTTAGCAAAATATATATTTTTTTTTTAGACACAGAGTCAATATACCAACATGGAATGGAAGACATATTGCGAAAATATGGCAAAGTTTATACTGACGAAGTTAAGCTTAAAGTGGTCGGTTCAAAAGAGCAAGATACTTACAGGATATTGGTGGAAGAATTAAACTTACCGGTTATTCCTGATGAAC